GTACCTTCTACTATAAGAACTCTTAACTTTTTGTTCTTTGTAACACATCCCAAGCACCCTCGGGGGTGGATTTCCAGCAAATTCTGCCAGTGCAGCCCCATAGGGACTTCTCTACCATCCAGTGAACCGCAGCCATGCCCTCCCCAACATGGTCTGGATCTCAGCCATGGGGGTGGGGGGTGGGAGCTCTATCTTGAATGTTTTATCTCACACTAGCAGGAGCAGCTACTCCTTATAACTGCGATTCCTATACTTTTTAGAGTTCTTTTTACTTCTTATTGGCTGGCCAAATACTTCTGTTGAACAAACTCAAAAGGAGTGTGGAGGCTTTGGCTAGAAATAAATGATAAAGATTGATTCAAGGGTCTCAGGTTTGCAGACTCTAATAAGCTTTCTCTGATGGCTGCATCAGGCTTGGGTGGTATTAGTGAGAGTACGTCTGTCACCATGACTTACCTGGTGCTCTAAGAAAAAACAGATTCTGGCCCAGAGAACCAGGTTTTGGACATAAGGGACTCAATCAGGGTGCTGTCCGGAAGGGTCTGCAGCCTGCACCCTGGGCAATACCACTGCCATTACCTCCCCCACAGCCCCTGCAGAGCACCTCCTGGGCGTGACTACATGGTGAGTGTCCAACTAATCACCATTCTCTAGTTGCTGGACCTTTAGGCTGTTGCCAGTCTTCCACTGTTACATACAACACAGGAATGAAGGTCTTTGTGATTCCTGTTCTTTTGCTATTCATCAACATTTGTTAATCTCTTGCCCTCTCTTGGGAGTCATCTATTCAAGTCCTTCACTATTAAGAAGTATTTTATTTCAATCCCTGGGGAATTTGTGTCCTAGATTCTTCATTCTGTCCTCTTTTGGATAGCAAGGGGCTCCTCTCCTGCCTCTAAATCCTTTGGATATTCCTTTTTGAAATCAAGTTCCCTTGGCATGGGAGGACTGGGCTTGGGTGGCTAAGAGCTTCAGTGAGACAGAAACAAGGGTATGGAAGTCTGAAGCATGCAAAGCTGGCCGAGCTTTCCTCCTGGGTGGACAGTCTTCAAAAGGAAGAAATCAGCCTGTAGGTAGTTTTCTTTTCACTCTCCATTTTTAAACATCCTAGAGAGACCCTACATGTTTTTTTTCTCTTTATTTGATTCAAATTGAGCCTCTAAATAAACTATGCTCCTTTTAGGAGCCCAAGACACACACGACAGGAAACGTGTCACTTAAAGTGCCTTTTTGAAGTCGCATGATATCTTCTCACCACTCTCTGAGCTGTTGCCTTCTTTGGCTCAGGGATAGAGAAAAACTTTCTCTTCTTCTTCCCCCACTACTTTTCCCTTCCAAGACTGACACAGAGAGATGGCTTGTCCTGTGAAACTTGCACACAGGTGGTTAGTAGGCGGCAAGCATAAGATAGCTGTGCGTGCTGAAGGAAGTGTGGCATGTATGGGAGTGCAGAAGGTGACAGCAATTCATTCGTGTGGGGAGTACAACTTAGCAATGGTAATCAAGAGAGCTTTGGGTAGGAGAGGTCATTGATGGTCATCTTAATTAATGGACAGGGTTTGGAAATATAATTTAAAAAGCAGCTAAGTTTCTATCAGTTCCCACTCTTGTCTCACTGGTACCACCATAAGTCCTGGTTCTCCGTATTGCTGCCAGAGACAGTCATCTACTTACCTATCTATCATCCATCCATTTGTCTCTGTATACATGCATACATTCATCTGACATTTCATTCATTCATTTGTTCGTTCTTGCAATGATTCTTCCATCTTTCCATCCATTCTTATACTATCTACCAAGGCCCCACTCTGTGAAGCAGGCTGAATGCACAAATATATTTTTTAAAATATATTAGTATTGATTTTAGAGAGGGAGGAAGAGGGAGAGAGAGAGAGACAGAAACATCAATGATGCAAGAGGATCATTGACTAACTGTGTCCTGCACGCCCCCCACAGGGTAGGAGGCAGTTGAATCGCATTTGGGCATGTGCCCTAACCAGGTATCAAACTGTGACCTCCTAGTTCATAGGTCAATGCTCAACCACTGAACCACACGGGCCAGGGATAAGTATCAATAAGATTCTAGCTTTCAAGGAGCACACAGACTAGTGGTTAGCTGGAAAATTTTAAAAATAGATAATAATACAGTGTAATAAGTACATCCTATAGAAGTTTGTTTAAAATATGCCTTGTATAAATTCCCCTTTTCCCCCAAAGGCCTTACCTGACTGCCCAATCTGAAATAGTTCTTCTTATTATTCTTTTTTCATAATATTCTTTCTTTTCCTTTAGAGCATTTATTACAATTCATTATTATATACTTACTAGAAGCCCGATGCATGAAATTCATGCAAGAGTAGGCCTTCCTACCCCTGGCTGCCGGCACCGGCTTCCCTCTGGCCCTCCAGGACCTGGGCTTCCCTCGCTGTCGTGGCTTCCTCTCGGAAGGTCATCCATCTAATTAACATATTATGCTTTTTTTAAAAAATATTTTTAAATATATTTTATTGATTTTTTACAGAAAGGAAGGGAGAGGGATAGAGAGTTAGAAACATCAATGAGAGAGAAACATGGATCAGCTGCCTCCTGCACACCCCCCACTGGGGATGTGCCTGCAACCAAGGTACATGCCCTTGACTGGAATCGAACCCGGGACCCTTCAGTCCGCAGGCCAACGCTCTATCCACTGAGCCAAACCGGTTAGGGCTATGCTTTTATTATTATGGATGAGTATGTTTTTTGCTTAATATTTGTCTACCCCAATTGACAGGAAGCTCCATGGGGATAGGTCCTATTGTCACCAGAAAGGGACTGAGCCTCAGGCCAGGCTGTAGTGCGTGGGTTTTTGACTTCCTGCAGGAAAGATCTCACAGTGCTAGTCCTGGAGATATTGGGAGTATGCATATTAAAGCAGAAGACAGAAGAAGCAACAGGAGAGCCTGGCGGTGCTCTGCTTTGGTTCTCTAGAAATGTTATAGGACAGAAGTGAGTCACAAAGGCGGGGCTGCTGTGAGCTCACTGAAAAGTCAGAGACAAGGGGCCCTTGGAGACAGGTTCATGGGTTAGCCTAAGACAAGCTGCCACTGCCTGCTACTCCTCTGTTTGCACATCTTGCTGTGACCTTTAGAACTTAGGAGAAAGAGAGCAAACATACACACCTGATCAAGTGGGAAGGAAGGAGTGGGCATGCTCCAGGGGGCGCCTAAGCTGGCTTTCTTTCTCTCGAGGGTTCTATCTGGTTTCTAAGGGCAGGGATTTTAGGGGAGGTCTCAGGGAAGGCTCTCAATAAAACATTCATCAGCTTCCCAGGTGTGTCCTCTCAGGGTCATGCTTTACACTGATTGATCCGTGCTATGGGTAGGGGGTTATTTATCAGTCATTGAATTGGTCCTGATGTCAGCCAACGCATCACTCCATCTGCTTTTCTGGGCCTGGAGCTGAAATACAACTGAGACCTAGATGTCATCTCTAATTTGACCAAAACTCTGTCTCCATGGTCAGCAGACCCAAGGCCTTTTTCCTAATATTATTTGATGTGAGTCATTTTCCTGAGGGCCCAGTTCTTAAGGGAGTGGTCATGCAAGGGCTTGCACGGGAGTGATATGAGGCTATTCTCCAGCCCCTTGTTCTTCCTCTAAGAGGGTCTAAACTAGCAATCTGCCAGGGGAGGAAAGGTCCGGGGAGGGTCCTAACTGCACGACTATCTATAGGAAAGGTCAGGGGGCTTACATCATATGACCAGCGCTATGCTA